ATATGTTAACTGTAAATCACTGATTTCAGTATCCTCCTTCATTGTACAAAATTCTTCGTTTGAATTTGGAAGCAACTGTCCCATGCACCCAAAAACAAAGAAAAAGCAGAGCCGGAAAACTAACAAAATACGACGGAGAGAATCGAAACGTGGCTAGGGTTTTAGATCGGTAGAGTACCAAAGCTGTAAAAATCGGATCTAACAGTTTAAAACCGGCGAACTACGGAACCGGTGGAGGGTTTTGTAAACCGGTTGGGGTTTTGTTATGTGAAAAAGAAAAGGAAATTAGAGAAGGATGGAGATGCAGTAGATGGATCAGCAGGTGCGGCGCTTAGGAAACAAAGGGAGGAGATGATTGTTGTTGATATGTTAGGGTTTTGATAGAGGAGAAAGAGGGTATGAGAGAAGGGAGAGAAGGTGAGAGAAAGAGGGAAGAAGAGGGTACGAGAAGAGAGAGAACTGAGAGTAAGAGGGAAGAGAAGAGTGATTTGGAAATGGTAAGACTTTTTTGAAAAGCTTCTGTCACTTGGCAAAATGGGTTCTTCTGATTAGGTGATGAATTATTATTTAGTAAATTACATAAAAGGGCTTTAAGTAGTGTGAATGAAATTTAGTGAAAGGATATAAATGGTAGATTGGTGGCAAAGAATAGTAATGGGTAGGTAGTTGATTGCTCAACCTGAGCTGGATCTCTCAAACTAAAAGGGAAAAATAGCAAATTATCAATTACTTTATCCAAACCTGATAAACAACTTGATTATAAACCACAAAAATCAGGGAATAAAATAAAATTAATAATAAAGCTTAATTTTTTTAACGATTGTAACTAATTATCAAATTGAACAAAAAAATTATTGTTAAAAATCTCTAAGAATGATTACCGAGACTTCAAGAAGAGCATCTCTAACGTGATATGTTAACTGTAAATCACTGATTTCAGTATCCTCCTTCATTGTACAAAATTCTTCGTTTGAATTTGGAAGCAACTGTCCCATGCTCCCCAAAACAAAGAGAAAGCAGAGACGGAAAACTAACAAAATACGATGGAGAGAATCGAAACGTGGCTAGGGTTTTAGATCGGTAGAGTACCTAAGCTGTAAAAATCGGATCTAACAGTCTAAAGTCGGCGAACTACGGAACCGGTGGCGGGTTTTGTAAACCGGTTGGGGTTTTGTTATGTGAAAAAGAAAAGGAAATTAGAGAAGGATGGAGATGTAGTAGATGCATCAGCAGGTGCGACGCTTAGGAAACAAAGGGAGGAGATGATTGTTGTTGATACGTTAGGGTTTTGATAGAGGAGAAAGAGGGTATGAGAGAAGGGAGAGATGGTGAGAGAAAGAGGGAAGAAGAGGGTACGATAAGAGAGAGATGCTGAGAGTAAGAGGGAAGAGAATAATGATTTTGAAATGGTAAGACTTTTGTGAAAAACTTCTGCCACTTGGCAAAATAGGTTCTTCTGATTGAGTGATGAATTATTATTTAGTAAATTACATAAAAGGGCTTTAAGTAGTGTGAATGAAATTTAGTGAAAGGATATAAATGTTAGATTGGTGGCAGTGAATAGTAATGGGTATGTAGTTGATAAATGGTAGATTGGTGGCAATGAATAGTAATAGGTAGATAGTTGATGAATGAATGAATGTTGGAGAAAAAAGGGGAGATAGTAAATAACTCCCAGGAATAAGAATTAATTAAAAATGACAAAATTTAGATTTTAATGAAAATGGATGGTAAAAAAAGTAGTAACAGAAGTAATTTTAATATGAAGAAGTTGTTATCAAATTTATTGTATGAGGAAAAGTGAGTCACGGGATTTACAATATAATGTAGGTAGTAATTGTTCATAAGAAAATTTAAAGAATAGAGAACAATGACCATTAAATTGAATTAAAAAATATATAATAATATAATTAAATAGCACTTTATTGTCTACTTAGGAGTGAAATTGTATAGTTTTACTTTGACAAATTAATTAAATTTATTGGATTCAATTTAAGAAACATTATTATCTTAAATATATATCCTAACAAAATTTTAAAGAAGGAATGAATGAACTTGACGAAAAAATATTCATTAAAAAAAAACACAGTCCCTTTGATATAAGAAAAGAATATTAAATAAAATACAAATAAATCATCACATTGAAATATAACAACTCTTATTAACAAGTATCATAAGGATGTGTGGTTGCTTTATTTACTACTCTCTTTGTTTCTTTAAGTGCCACTTTTAGATAATTTTTTTGTTTTTTTATTGTCACTTCTAAAATTTAAGATAAAATTAAATATAGTTTTGTCAAAAATATTTTAAGTATTTGTTGAATCCTACGGCAAGTCAATTTGAGGCAAATAATAGAGAGTAGAGACAATGTGGTTGATTTATTTGATAGCCATAATATTATGTTTTATGAGATATGATTCCACGCAAGATCCACTCATTGTGGGTATTTCTGACCATGCGTGAATGAATGATAAATCCGTGGCTCATGATGACTTCGTATTATCCAACCATCGCGTCAGAGCAGAGAAAATTTTATCTCATATTCTTGGTGATTTTAGTATCATTAATCTATTTTAGTACTAATGTGATTTACTGTAGGTCGATACAATTATACGTTAAGCTTGGAAACGAGTTAGGGTAGTGCGGAATGCACGTTCGTCGAGCCAACGTGCAATTGAATGCGAATAATTGAAAAAGGGTTCCAAGGGGCAAAGCCCCTGGCGGGGTGTGGGACAGCGCCCCGTGGGATTCCAAAGGGCAGAGCCCCTGGCGGGGTGCGGGGCAGCGTCCCGTGGGGTTCAAAATATGATTTCTGAACAGTTAAACCTGCTCGAAATCTTTCTGAACATTTGAACCTGTTCGAAATTAAATTTGAAAAGATGAGCCCGGTCAAAATTTTTGAACAGATGTCCCTTTTTGTTTTCTGTTATTTAATCTCCTATATAAGAAGTCATTTGGCCTCAGTTTTACACACCGAACAAAAATCATATTTTTCTCTTCATTCTTGATCTGTTTTCTATTGTCAGAAGCAAATTGTTCTTCAAGAATTATCCCCACAAAGATTTCGTGAACCCAGACAAATAATAGGGTCGAAATACTTTGTTCGAAAAATGTACGAACACGATTTCTCGAAGATATCCAAGATTATCATACCAAATTTTCTAACACATATCCCATCATTTATTCCGCTACCCTTATATTATATTTTTTTTATTAAAATATCCTCATATAAATAATTTATTAAAAATTAAAAAATATTATAAAAACTTATTATTGGAACTTTTTTACAAAGTCTTTTGGTATACAAAAGTTGATTACAAAAACTCTTTTGCAAAGTTTTTCGGTGCACAAAATAAAAATTAAACATGTTTTAAAAAATGACTATCGGAACTCTTTTGTAAAATCTTTCGATACACAAAAAAAAGTTTAAAAATAACTATCAGAACTCTTATGTAAAGTCTTCTAGTACACAACTCTTTTACAAAGTTTTCTGATACACAAAAAAAAAAGTTAAAAAATACTTTAAAATGACTATCGAAACTTTTTTTTTAAATCTTCTGATACGTAAAATAAAATTTAAAAAATATTTAAAAAAATTAAATAATAAATTAGTTAAAAATATACGAGAACAAGATGGATATCTTTTACAGAATGTAAAAGTATAGAAATAAAGGTAAAAGTATCAGCTAAAAATTTCCTGAGCAGAAAGAATAAGTTTAGTAAACTCAACAACAACTAAAACAAAAATCAAGTTTTATATTGGTATTTGATCCTCTTAAGAATAAGATTGCACCTCCAATTGCAGAATACAACAAGAAGAATACCACAATCTTCCAAATTAATAAGAAGTTTTTCAAATTATATATATATATATATATATATATATATATATATATATATATATATATATATATATATATATATATATATATATATATATATATATATATATATATATATATATATATATATATATTTGTTTGTCTTAGATTAAATTTAAAAAGAAGTTTTTCAAAAATTAATTAAAAAAATTAGTTTAAATATTTTTCCATAAAATACTAGTTTAAGTATTTCATTATTTTATTTTACATTTTTTAATATATATATTTTTTTTAAATTACTTAATTTATAATTTATTTTGAATAATTTTTTAGATATATTTTAAAAATTTATGTTATTTCAAATATATTTTAATCTTTAATATTGTATATTTATATTATTTGATGTCAAAGTTAATTTTTTAATTTATAAAATATGAGTTTAAAATAAATTTTACCATTTTTAAAAGGAAATTATGAAAATTATTTTAGAAAGTAAAAAGGAGAAAAACTGTTTTTTTTTAAGTTATAAAAAATGGATATAGTTTAAAAGGAATTTACACTAATCTATAATGTACTCCCACGCTTATTTTATAAGTGTTATTTTTTAGATAATTTTTTTATTTTTTTTAATTGTTATATACATTTTTGTCAAAATTATTTTTGATAATTATTAGTAATAAATAATTAAGAGTATTATGATAAAAGAATAATTATTGTATAAAAAGAAACAATATTAGTTAGTTTTTTTGATATTTGTAAAAAATAAAAAGGTAACACTTAAAAAAGAATTAGGGAGTATTAACTATAATATTAATATAATTTCCCAATCTTATTTCAATTAAATTCATATAATATCTAATTTCCTCTTTAATCTTGTATGTAATTAATTTCAAATTATTCCTTTTGAAAATCACATGACCCATAAAACATTAACATCAATTTGACTATTTTCTCGTAAAATCGCTGTTCAATACACAACAAGGTACATATTTTTTTTTCAATCTCTAACGTTGTCATTGTTTTGTTCTGATTCTATATTCTTCGATGTTTTCAATGTTTTCCCTCAAGTTCCAATTTTGAACATAATTTTGAATTTTAATGTTTGTCAAATCCCAATTTCAACCACCCTTTTGAAATTTGTTTAACTTGATTCCATTTTTTTTTTGTAGATAAAAATTAATGGTGGCGAGATTTAGCCCTTTTTCTCTGAAACTGTCTCAAAAGCTTCATAATCATCAATCTTCATGTTTCTCTAAACAAGTAGCTGTTAGCTGTAGATATGGACTGAAAAGGTTTGACCTTAGAAGGCCACAGATATTGTCTTCTGCTTTTGGAGGAAGCTCTGATGGGTTGCGTGTGTTTGTGGTTTCTGATTTGCATACTGATTATGATGAGAATTTGAAGTGGGTGGAGTGTTTGTCAAGAGTGAATTATAAGGATGATGTGCTTCTTGTGGCTGGTGATGTTGCTGAGACATATAGCATGTTTGTTGTTACAATGTCTCTTTTGAGAGAGAGATTTGAGCATGTCTTTTATGTGCCGGGAAATCATGATCTTTGGTGTCGTCGCGAGGGCCAAAACTATGTAAGGTCATTGTACCCTTATCATAATCTGTTTCCATAAGCTCTCCTAAAAAGTTTCAAAAGTGCTTATACTGATAGATAAATTCAAATAAGTCAATCTAAACAGACGCCAGTGCGTGTCTGTTTTGCTATACATGATATTAAAACCAGACTTACTGCTATCCTCGTTCTCAGAAATTTTGTTGCGAAACTTTCTTGATAGTCTTTTGTGGATTCTCCAGGTTGATTCTGTTGAAAAGTTTAACAAATTGCTTGATGCATGTAAGAGAATTGGAGTCGAGACAAATCCAATGGTTGTTGGTGCATTAGGGATCATTCCTTTGTTCTCTTGGTACCATGAGGTGATTACTTATGTAGTGTCAGTTTCTAGCTCCTTAATCTTTCATACCATGTGTTGGATTGGATCCAAGCAATTTATTTAATTCTTCAATCTGCATGTTTCACAGAGCTTTGATAAAGAGGAGGACATAACAGGCTATCGCATCCCGTCTTTGGAGATGGTGACTATTCTCTTATCTCCTAGTAAGCCATTCACGTCGATTGATGGCCTGATCATGCGCTTAATTTCCCATGGTGCTTGATTAGGGACTATCTGCATTGCATACAAACTTTATGCTAATTTCTGTTTTTGTTAATATATCTGTGATTTGAACATTAGGAGTGTTGTCAATCATGTAATTAATAAGCAAAATATAAAGATCCTAAAATTGTTTCCTACTGTTGTGTGAAAATACCATATGCTTGTGATGGTTTGGTAATTATTGTACACCGATATGTTGAACTAGTTATGACGGTCTTCACCGTCTTTGAGGGAGCGTAAGGCACTCTACTATTGAGAGTTTAAAATTTGTCACGGTTAAACCGTGGTTTAATAGGTTATAAAATATTGTCACGGTTAAATCGAGGTTAAATATGATCTGTATTTATTTTTCTATGGTTAAATTGCGGCTAACCTACACAAGGCCTACAAAAACTTGAGACAACTTTGACTGTCTTAACTCATAAGCCATAACCTAAGTAACAAGATAAGCTGTTGATCTTTGACTTGTGATTGAAGCTTCTATACAAGGTTAATTTTTCTTTGTCAAGAGTCCTATACTGTATGAGATATGGTTAATGAGTATATAAATGAGAGACATTCCTCGCTTTACAAGTTTGTTTCGTAGGATTGAGTTAGACCCAATTCAAATTTTAATATAGTTTCAAAGTCTATCCAAGATCTCTCAAGACACCTACTTTTGGACTCAGATCACACACTCCATATGTCCATTACTAGGCATGAAGACTAACACTCCATATGTCCATTCCTAGGCACGAGGACTGTGTTACTTAGGAGTCCATGCCGCATTAGATGAAACATGGTCTGGAAAAGAGCTTATAACTAGGAAACATTCCTCGCGTTACCTTACCAGTCAGTTTTGTAGGGTTTAAACTAGGTTGGTTCCAACTCAAACTATAAGAATTCTCCTGTGTTTAATTTAGTTTCATGAATTCTCTCACATCTTTCTTGTTTTCTTCTTTTCCAAACAACTATGGTATTAGTTTTTTTCATTCTTATTGTTTATATTTTCCTTAGGCATGTAAGGACTTCTATGCATGTAACTGGCCCAATGGACTTTCAAATGGAGATACCTCCCTCTCTTTATATTTTGATGCCCTCAATGATAAACAAATGGAAAGTATAAAGGAGATTCAGAAGACATGTGATCACATAATTACCTTTTCCCACTTTGTTCCAAGGTGATTAATCTGTTGTATGATTCGAATTGCAGCTATTTCGTCAGTTTCCACTTTGTTCTGGTTATGGCTTATACTTGGTAACATGCTTTTTCTCAGGCAAGAACTTTGTCCAGAAAAGAGAATGTTATTCTATCCCAAGCTTCCGAAATTAATTGGTTCAGACCCTCTTGAAGATAGAATAAGGTCTATACATGGTGCTCAGGGAAGAGAGGATGCATCTTCTTGCCATGTTTTTGGTCATACTCACTTCTGTTGGGATGCTGTTGTAGATGGCATAAGGTATTTTTCATTTTTATCTATCATTAATATTAGTATTGTTTTTGTTTCAGTTTGCAGACTGGAATTGAAATTATGGAATTCTTCATTATATGTTGTGCTGTGTGTTTCCCTCAACTTTCTCTTAAAATTTTCCTTTGTTCAAGTTTCGATATTTTTTGAATATTTGTTTATAAGTGGGAGGCATCTCTCACTTTACAAACCGATTTCAATGGGTTCAGTTCTATAAAACATAGACAGCTTTAAAAATAGACATGTTGTGATATCCGACGCGAGTCGGTGTCAGTGTTATCAAATTGCCCCGCCATAACCGTTATGGCGGATATACATGGCGGTTTGTGGACTTGCCGCAATGGGAAATATCAGCCGCTATTGCGGGTTTTTCTGCCATAATCCACAATAACGGCGCCGCCGGTATTGACGCCGGTATTGACAACATTGGTTGGTGTCCGACACGTGTATGCATGTATGATCCATGTCCGAAAACTCATAAAAGTGTTAGAAAAGTCAAACAAACAAGGTTGTCAAGATCGGTATTTTGCAATAAAATCGGGAGGAGAAAGTATGATCGTATCTAAGATCGGAAGATACTACTCAATTATTTTTGCAAAATCGTAAGATTAAGATCTATATCAAAATTTTGATAACCTTGCAAACAAGTGTCCCTAAAAAATGATTTATTTTCTTTGCTTTGTCTTTACTTTGCTTCAACAGTATGACACTCATACAACTAGATTTTTTCTTTGCTTTGCTTCAACAGTATGACACTCATACAACTTGTCAGACAAGACAAGTTTTCTCTGGAATTCGCATTTTCATTTTGGTGTTAACATAATTGCAGGTATGTACAAGCACCCTTAGCTTACCCAAGAGAAAGGAAGAGAAGAATGAATGGAGGAGACAATTGGCTACCATTTTGCCTCTATGCTGACAAAAAGTTTTCTGATAAACTCAATCCTTGCTTTTGGTCTGATTATTACTCTGCCAATCCCAGAACACCTCATAACACCAAGCTTGCTCCTTGGGTAGCCAGATTTTACAAGCTAAAGAAAGCCATAGATGTATAGTGTTCACTACTATTTTTGTTGGAATAAATAACATCTCATTATTCATTAAGTTGAAACTTGTACTCAACTGAATTTTACTAAACTTTCAAAAGTTTCATTTTCTTATGTTTTGCACACTTCTATTAGTTAATGATAATTGTCTCATTTTATTCAAATATTTGAAGCACACAATACAACACAGTTACACAGTTACACATACCCTGAGACCCCCCAAAACAGTAGGAATATTAAAATACATAATAGGAAACAGAAAAGTGGTAAAAAAAACAAATTGATACAATACAAACATGTCCTTTTAACACACACATACATTGATTGATTGATAGACAAAAGTGATGATGACTAGTAATCTTCAGCAGCAAGAGGCTGGTGTGCATGAGGTGGTTCTGTTGGGATCACAACATATTCATATATGAGTGATGCCAATGCTGCACCAATGAATGGACCAACCCAGAAGATCCAATGGGAGTGCCATCTCCAGCCTACCAAAGAAGGGCCAAAAGCAAGAGCAGGGTTCATGCATGCTCCGTCAAATGGCCCGCCGACGAGGATGTTTGCACCTACAATGAGACCGATTGCTAAAGGTGCAATGGCTGCAATGCTGCCTCGTTTTGGATCAATTGCTGTTGCATATACTGTGTACATTAGCCCAAATGTCATTATGATTTCAAGAAGTAGACCATGGCCGTCGCCTAGGCCCACTCCTACATGAAACCCTGCTGGTCTCTATAATCAACAACAACCACAACACTGTCAGTTTTTTTTTATCTAAAATCCTTTTGTTTAAAATGTAATTACACTAACACTAATACTAATTTGAAGAATTGAAATTGAACTATAAGCACATGTACATTACATCATGTTGGGGACACACTTGTTATATACAAATGCAACCATCAACTTATTATGACATGTTGGTGTATGAGCAATGACATACGTGTACACATCAACACATCAACCGATGATACTCTTAATTTGAAGTGTTGAGTATTGCATTGTCAAGATCTCGATCTTGATCTTGAAATTATAAATCTCAAATAGAATCCCGTATTGTAGTCAAATTGTAAAACTATTGATTGTGTGATCCTTCCCGTATTGTAGTCAAATTGTAAAAAAGTCAAATCGTAAAACTATTGATTGTGTGATCCTGGCCAGTTCCGACAGAAGCCATTTTCCCACTACCATTATAATCTGCGAAGGTAGGTTGATAATATGCCAAAACGCCGAAACGCAACACTTACGGTTTAGCGGAGGCTATTTTCCGCCTAATAGCCTTCCTACCAAAATATCATGTAAAAAAGCACAACAACGGTCCGGTGGAGGCCACTTTCCCACTACCACCTCCATTATAATCTGAGCCATTTTCCCACTACCACCTCCATTTGGTGGATAAGATGCGAAACGCAACACTTACTGTTTGGCGGAGGCCATTTTCTGCCTAATACACTTCCTACCAAAATATCATCCTACTAACTTTCTTGTTTTAGTAATATCATACTATTTTTGTTTTAGTAATATCTTACTATTTTTGTTGAATAAAATAACTTTCTTTGATTTAGTAATATCTTACTATTTTCGTTGCAGTACTTATAAAACATTGCAGTACTTATAAAACTTATGTTTTATGATCTTGTTACTTTCTCTCATCAATCTCTCATCAAAGTTACAAAAATAATTCATCAAAGTTACAAAAATAATTGAATAGGATCTTTCGATTTTAGTTATGATTTTATGATTTACGATTTTATAGTTCCCTCCCGATCTTACGATCTTAGTTCCCGATCTTAAGATCTTAAGCAAAATCTCGATCTTGAAAACCTTGGAGCAAAATCTCTATTTTGAGAACCTTGGAGCACTATGCACACAAACAAATCATACTCTTAATCTAAAGTGTTGATGCATTGAAACATGTCAGTCAGTCAGACGTGACTTGTACACGCTGACATATGATACTCTTAATCTAAAGTTTTTGTATCCAGCACTGACACATGCACATGTCAGACACATGTGACGTGTCACGTGTATGTGCATACTCATAGATGGCGTGTTTGATATGAAGCATTGATATCGAGCACTGAAACATGCAAGATATATGTGCGCACGTCCACACTAACAGACACTCTAAACGTGTGAGACATGTACACCACCGATGACACACTTTTTAAGTACAGTATGTAGCACTTGACTGTAATGAACTGCCATATTGAACTTTTTCATCAAGCTTTCAATTCAATTAGAGTAAGTTTTTCTTAAATAAAAAAAATCACGACAGTTTCACCTCTTAATAATCAAAGGTAACTACTACAATAGTTCTCGGTGTAGCTTATTTGAAAGAACAAAAATGGTTAGAGTCTAATAATGATGACAAACACAAACAAGTTTTGCTCAAACAAAAGTATCAAATATTAAGTATTATTCAGATATTGAATCATATTTCACTAAATCATTTCAAATAGTCAATTCAACTATACAATGCTTACCATGTTATTAGTGACAAGCCTAAGCAAGAGTGCAGCAACAACAGAACCTAAAAGTTGAGCAACCCAATAGTAAACAGCACGAATGACAGAGATTCTGCCACCTAGAAGAGCACCAAAAGTCACTGCAGGATTCACATGTCCACCAGATACATGCATGCTAGAAGACACAGCAGCAAATAGAGCAAATGCATGAGCAAGTGCAGCTGCCAACAATTCACCAGCCGAGAAAGCTGAATCTTGGTATATCTTAACTGCAACAAACAGAAACAAAACAACATAACATTCAAACTATAACAACTTTTTGAAGTATGCAAAAAGGTTATATTTTTAGTATATATATATTATATACAAACCTAAAGCAAGGCCAGAGCCTTCTCCAGCAAAGACAAAGATGAAAGTGGAAGCAAATTCAGCTAAGGTAGCTCTAAGAGAATCTGGATGTGTAGCCTCATCAGCTCTTCCAAAAGTATACCTACGAGTTGACATCTGTACCTCAAACAACAAACAGCAAACTAGTCTTTCAAAGATAAATGTCCTTTGATGTTCTTTGAACTTTGAGTGAAACTTGATGAAGAGTTCTTAGCATGGTTGAAAAGTATATATTGGCAATGTTTATATGATGAGAATATGAGTAGGAGTTTGGTGAGACACATGGATTTGTGAGATGCTAAATCATGGGCACGTAGTGATATGTGTTGGCTTCTCAGCATAAATTGTGTTGTTGTATATATCAACAATTGTTTGTGTTTTTTTCTTGTATAGTTTAATGTTCATCTTGAATTTTTAGACAATGACAAAAACCAATGCGTTTTCTAGGCGGTTGCTATTTCTTGATTTAAGTTTGTGTATTCTTTTCTTAAGGAAATAGTGTAAACAGAAAAAAGAATACGCATTTTTATACTGTTAACAAAGGACGTGTATTCTGCAACAGTAATTGCTATTTTTACACCATTTCTTATATTTATATTATATTTACTGTTTATAAATACAGTAAATAGTGAATATTATATGTGCATGTGGTTGTGAATATTACGTGAACAATAATTTTTAATAATAAATATAAAATTGGTTAATAAAATATAAAAAATTAATTAATTAAATGATAAAATAAATATTTAGATATTAAAAATAATTTTTAATAGTAAAACAAAGTTGATTAATAAAAAGTAAAAAATTGATTAATGAAATGATAAAGTTGATTAATATATAAATATCTAATATTAAAAATAATTTTTAATAATAAAATAAATTTGGTTAATGAAAAGTAAATGTTAGTTAATAAAATTATGAAGTTTTATTCAAACACATAAATATTAGAATAATTTTGTGTTAAAGGACAATTTTGTGAGAAACCTTTCATTTCTTATTTTGTTTTTTTGTAATACTATGGCAGTGCTGAAAGCTTATTTCGTGCTAACCTCTGATAGCAAGCACTATTTGTTTCTATGCTAGTTAGAAATTTTAAAATCAAGGATTATGAAATCAAAAGATTTAATCCAAGATAATGAAATCACAGACTCTACTAAGAACAAAATTTTGTTAAGTGCCATAACTTATCTTAGACTCTGTTTTAGAATGAATCTTGGTACTCTATCAGACTAAGACATGAAGTAAAAGAAAGCCTGTCAGGACTAACATTTCTGGACCCACAAAAATATGGGTACCCAAATTCTAAATTGTATTTGTTGCAGGTATCACAGAAGAAATGAGCAAGGCATCTTCCATGACACTTGATCAATGGTTGCTTACAATCTGTGATGGAAGAAAATCCTACACACCAAACTCAAAAGCTAAAAGATGCAAAAAGTATGGAGTTTGGAGAAGAAAGTGGAATCATTGGTTTAACCGCCATTGACTCATGATCCACTTGAAGAAAAGATTCAGATTCCAAAGTCAAATTTGAACATTTGCCCGAAGCCTGGCCAAGTAAAACAAAAAAAAAGGTATGTTCTGGTCTTTACTCTTGCAAACTTCTTAACTAAATCAACTATTTAAGTATAAGTGAATACAAAGTCTTTATTAGATCTCTAGAGAAATTCTATTTGTTGACAACAACAAAATCTTCAAAAATCTTTGAAAATAAACTATGTTGTATTTGACTATATTGAATATTTCATTAACTAGATGATGATCATATTTATGGAAATAATATTCTCACCTTTTATGATAATACTACTGCTAATTAGTAGTCAAAAAGACCAATTCAATATTCATAAATCAAGCATGATTCTATTTTCAATAAAAAATGCTTCACTCTAAATAGAATATCATAGACTGATGACTAACAAAAACTGTCTCACTCGAAGTATAATCTTACTAGACTCTGATGACAGATAACTTCTGAAAAATTATCAACTTTTGAGATTCAGAAAAGGAATCTTTACTTCTGATAAAGTAGTTTATGTAAGAATTGTTTTAAAACCTGTCTTACTTAAAATTCCATAAAGTTGAAAATCATTTAGTATATTCAAGAAGCCTGTTAGGTAAGGACCCTTGGGTATTGATGTTTTCTTATTTCACACATCTATGGTCTCTATCCATTGGCTTTGTGAAACATCATTTCGTGTCACCTTTTCTGTCCCTATGACAAGATTCTTATTCCTCTATGGTCAGAATCTTGTTTAGATCTTTTTTTATTTTTATTTTGTGTGTTGATCAAACCAAACCTAAGATGAAATCTCTAGTCAACTCTTCACTGAATCAACTAGTTGACATTAATGAAAAGTTTGTGGAATTTGAAGAGCTGCTTAAGCTAGGTTTTAACTTTTGAAAGACTGTTTTTGAATAGGGAAGGAATGGATACTTTGATATGCTCTGTGGTTTTAACTATCCAAATCTTATCAAAGAATTTTGGGTTAATGCATCCATTGTTGAGCTGAATCATGAGTATGTTATTCTTTCCAAGGTTTATGGTGTTTCTATAACAATAACCTCTAAAACGATTGCTAATGTAATCAATTGTGAGGAGATTGGAGAAATCTCTGGTACTCTTGTTTGAGAATAATTTCTTCCTACTTGGCGTACTTTTATAGATCTATCAAGCCTCTCTCAAGTCTCTAATCTTCATCATAATGTAATTATTTGGAATCATATTCTGAAATCAAATTTTCTACCTAAGGATAAGTGAAAATTCTGGCAAGCACACGATGGATATTATTCCCAAAGTTATAACATCCACTGTGACATCTGCTACTTAACAGCTAATAATCAGGAATACTAAAAGTAGTAAATAACACAACAATTGTTTACCCAATTTAGTGTCAACAACATTTACATATGGGGGCTACCAAGCCAGAGAGGAACTTCACTATTCGCAGAATTAATTCAGAGTCAAACAACACAGTTTGCACTCCTCACTTAAAACCTACCAAATGACAATTCAGCCTAGAGACACTCTAGATCTGAGTATACCCACTCACTCCCCCTCAATCACCACAGTGATATACAATTCACAAATACAGAATAAATATGAAGAGACACTTCATACACACCTAGATCTTGCTTCACAGCTTTGATCAAGGAACTCACACACTCTTGCTTCACATCTTTGAGTGAGACAAAGCCTAGAATCTACCTATCCAATGCAATCATCCACCAGAAAATTGCTTGGAGTACAAGTATTCCTAGACAAAATTCACACGTGAAGACTAGCCTTCTTCACCTACAAGAACTCTGCAATCTGCACTCTATATTCTTCTCTCAAGAGCTGCTACTCAGGATTGCATCTTCTGATAGTTATAGCAGTTGTTAGTCCTTTTCGGCCTTGGTGCATAAATTAGGTTTTATTCATAACAAACCTATTTTCAATGATCTGCACGCTTGCCACATAATTCATGGATCTTTTAGTTCGCCTAGGGCTTCTAGAAAATCTCCTGATATCCAGCTTGAGCTCCTATTTTGTTTCCTGGTCTATAGCTACCAGAAAACCAAATCTGCACAAACCTGCGCTTGATGTCATACGACCCAAGTCATAACATTGGGTATGACATCCAATTTAACTTGCTTTTAGCTAAGTTAACTTACCCTGCACTGTCCACATTATGTATGCACTAACATTAGTTATGACATACATACATGCTCTAGTGTTTTGCCATAAAATGCAGCCAATCAAGAGCACTTACAAACTCCCCCTTTGGCAAAATTTTGGCTAAAACACTTTGTGTAACACCCCGTTCCCCAAAATAAAATAAAACGATTAAAATAAAAACATATCAGAGTTTCTCCCATAAACGGGATGTCACATTTTTCAACAAAATTCCACAAGACATTCCTTAAAATGATTTTCAATAAAATTTGCAGCAGAAAAAGAAGTAGTCTGTCATAACACATAATATATATATACATCATCAACATCATCATATACAACAATCGACCATCTGTCCAAAATATACACAATGTCATCAACATCATCACCAATCCCACAAAATAAGATACGCCACAGGGGCACACAAAATCATCAATAAACCATAAATACTCCCAAAAAGCCTCGGTGTTACGTATCAGAGCAATCCTATGACACCGCCACAATCCAAGCTAGCTAAACACCTGGATTGTCTGTACTTCCGAAGAAGCACAGACCACAACAACAGCAAAGGGGTGAGAATTCACGATTAAATATTAATGGTATAAATATACATGGAATAAAGGCAGAAACATATAAAACGTCATTTCATATACAACACATCCGGACCTACTGTCCATCATCAACAATCACTACACACAACAATGCAACACATGCAACTCAACACATTGATATGCGGTACCGACTCACAACAACGATGGGCACAGGGCCATCAACCCTCCACAAAGGAGCACACATCACCGATGGGCACTGGGCCATCAACCCTCCACATAGGGAGCACAACAACAATATTGATAGACACCTGGCCATCACCCTCCTCACAGGGAGCACATCTCCGATGGTCACTGGGTCATCACCCTCCACACAGGGAGTACAACAACAATATCGATGGACACTTAGCCATCACCCTCCTTACAGGGAGCACATAACACAACACGCCATACATAACCCCAATGCACGCACACCACAACAATCACACATAATCAGCACACACGGTCCCCTGAACATATCTCATCATGTATCATACATATATCACGCCTCACATACACGTCTAGCACACAAGGTGCAATCCGATCCTACTGATCCACTCCCTCACACAACATATAAACACTACGCGCACAGGCGTATCGATCCTACTGATCCACTCATCACAACATATCAACACAACGCACATACGGCGTATCGATCCTACTGATCCACTCATCACAACATATCAACATAACGCACACACGGCGTATCGATCCTACTGATGCACTCATCACAACATATCAACACAACACACACACGGAGTATCGATCCTACTGATCCATCACACATCTCATATAACACATACATAACTAAACATATCACATAATCCACCAATTATGTCAAATGCGATACACGCCGGGCACACGACCCTTATAAC